TCATCTTCCGAGATGGAAATGTTCGTCTTATTGGCAATCCTGAGCACTATGTCTCTCGGGGTCGGCGACGTGGTCTTGCCGTCCGCTTTAATTACCGGGAAGCCCACGATTTCAGCGAAATTTCTCTTGAGTTGTGTTTCCATGAGAAGCAGTCTGGATTTCAAACGGGTACATTCATCTTTGGATTCATCGACCACGTTCTTGATTTCGGGTTCAAATACACTCAGCTTCTGCTGGATATTGGATTCAACCCTCTTGAGCAGTCTGGTCTCGAGTGCGCAGTTTTCTTCTCTGAGTATCTTCTGTAGCTGCTTAAGTTGGTTGTCCGAGAACTCAACCCCCATTTTTCCACTGGGGAACGCACGAAAAACTCAAAAAATAACGGCTGAGATCGAACACGTGTTTACTCTCCAATGGATGGATGCATTCTGAAATAAACGGCGCGCGCACATCGTTTTTCGCTGTTATTAAACGACCTCAGTCGGTCATGTTAATGGTCTTCAAGATCGACGCATGGTCGAAGAAGACTTGAGGACAGTTTAAACGATTGGTTTCGCAGAGACTGACTCTATCTTGAGGGAATAGACCCATCCTTAACGGAGGAGGAATTCTCCGCCGAATATACATGTTTGAAATCAGAAAGAAGTGATTTCTGTGACGATGATTCGATATAGCGTTTCCAGAACACTTGGTTAGGGGTAATCGAGGTCTGCTGAGGGTTTCTTGCCTTCAGTTTTTTTTGGATCCGAGTCTTCGTTCACACGTTCTGCGAGAAGGAGCCTACTTTTTGGGCGGTATCTCCTGAAACAATCAAGACTAGAGGCATTCGAGCAGCGTGCCCGGTGCCTCATTCTCAGCTGAACATATTCAGCCATGATAATTTTCATTGTCAAACGCTCTGTTTCTGAGAAATCAGCTCGAAAAGTTTGTTACATAGGTGAATCGCATAGATAAAGTGCGTAAGCTCCTGGCAGACGACCCTAGCACATACGCATGTGATCTCCGAGATGTGATTTTTTTCGAGCTTCGCCTCCCCAATAGTCCCCATTGAAGTTGGTTCCCGTACCCGGGGGCTATAGCGTAGTTCTACGCTAAAACACATGACAGACGCTCCGTCAGAGTGGTGCCGTTACCGTTTCTCGTCTTATCTGTTCTCAGTGCTAGTACCCCGAATCCCCGAAGAACTAACAGTGTGTGTTATCGCAATCAGTTTCCATGTCTTGCACTTATCCGAGACAGATGGTCTCGGGGCAGACCGTCCGCTACAGTTTGATCATTCGCTCCGGGATTCATTGTGGATTCCATGGCGAGATGGAACTGCAAGCGTCTGATGCCCTCCGGGGTCTCACAAACGGTCTCGCCAGCCGTGGCGTTCGACCTGGCACGTGAGCGATCGATAAGTGCGCTATTCGCGGCGACAGCCTGTTCGACTTCGAGCTCGAATTCCTCGGCGCTGGTGATGTCCTGCTCGAGCACGACCTCGTCTTCGGAGAGCTCATGTATTTTTTCGTTGAGCTCGCGGATTTTTGGCATGTGCTGATTCATCCTGACGAGCATCGTGTCCGGCTGACAATCGATCGGAAACTTCGGTTCTTCGGATTGGAGGTCTTCGATACCCGCGATTTCCGCCAGCGCTCGTTTTCTTCAGATCCTTCGTTGTTGACGGATTTCGAAAGCTCTTCCTTTACATTTTGAAGCGGGACTGAGATCCTGACCAACCTGCAGCGCTGTGAGAGATGTTTCCGATCGGTGCATGCCGAGCCGGAAGACTGTCGTGGACCTCGTTTCCCGTGCTCCAAGTGTAACTCGTCTCAGCACTACTGCTCACTGCATCCGGGCAAGACCGAGGCCAGCTCCGCTGTCGTCGATGTCACGAGTGGTGTTGGAGCGAACATCGGTGCTCTTCTGCGGACGGCATGTGCGTATGTGGTCACTGGTGGCATGAGGATCCCGATTCGGGTCTTCCTAGACAGCGGGAGCACCTTGACCGTGGTTTCGCCATCCCTCCGAGCCAAGCTGCGTCAGCGGCCGGTTGTCGTCTATTATCTCGCCATCCAAACTCTCGCGAGCAAGCTCGCTCGAGAGTCCTTTCCGATATACAGTCTACGTCTCCAGGGTCCGAAGGGTGGACCGATCGCGGAGCTGTTGGCCCACGAGTACGACTTCGGCGTGGATCCGTCGAACGCCAGCCTACTCAACGTCATGAATGCTATCCGGGAATTCGATAAGAAGAAACCTCTCGCCGATCGATCCTATGTGGGAGAATGGATGTCGTCCGCTTCGAGCATTCTCATCGGGATGAACCAACTTCATAAGGTCCTCATCCGCTCAGCGCCGGAAAACGCCGTTGATGACATCACCGCTCAGCCGACCCACTCCGGCTGGGTAGTTGGTGGTCCTCTCGTCCCGCACCGGACTCATGTCAAGGGCGAGGTGACGCAGCAATTTTCTTCGTGAGCTCAGCACAGCTGTCCTCCCCGGCGAGGGCGCTCCAGAGCCTTTGGTCGCTCGAGGCCGTAGGAATCAACGAGTTGTCGTCTTCATCATTGTCGTCGGATGAAGAATCGGCAATCAGGCAGTTCGACGCAGGCACATCCTATTGATAGGGATTTCCACGAGGGGAAACTTCACTAGATCAGTCGGAATACCAGGAGGAGGATAGAATTCAGACTTCAGAATGACGAGGACGCCTCCTGTTTGTTCACAGAGCAGAGAGTAATACTATTCGTTTATTCGTTGAATATATAAGATGATATTTGTTTCAAGGATCCAGTAGGTTGAGAGAGTGACCGTCCTAGATTTACATCCGGAATTTCCCGAGTTTTGGAACGAGGTCTCTGAAGTATCTGATTGTGTCTGAAAACTACCTGATTGTGTCTATTTAAGAGCTGGCTCAGATATATGCTTCTGAGGTTTCCGACAAACAAGAATAGAGTTCGGGAACTCCATATTTGAGCATTTCCCCCCTGCGTGAAGAAACATTAAATTTTGAGGATTCTGGATCGTTGAAATCGATTGGAAGCAGCAGGATGATTTCTCTGTTGGGTGTAGCCGAAGGTTGAACGTTCCATTCGGTTCCTCCGACATGGTTCCATCGTTGATGAGTGTACGTTCCTCGACTTTGGAGACGTGCATCAAGTGCACGGACGGTTCTAGAGTCGAGAAAGAGGGGAAAACCGGAGATCGGTTGGTTCCACTTTGAACTAAGCTTGTGAATCTCGGAGAACCATCTCCACGTGCAGGGCTTCCTTGGAAACGTTTTTCATTACCAACACGGGCTTCCGACCGTCGCGGCTGGATCGAATCGAGGTACTTGACCCTGTCTTGTTTTTTTGTCATTTCCTATTTGTCCAAGAAGAGAAAAAAAGGTTTGTGCATTGTCATTGTCATTGCCTCACGGCAGATTGAAGAAAAAAGAGAGAGCTCCCCTGCCTCCTGCTCCACGAATACGACATCCACATCTGTAGATTCTTTCTTTCCGATCACAGCCCGATGTGTTTAATGAGATCCCGGTAATCGATTGGAGCTCGTCAGCCGGGCCAGGGGAGGGACCGTCGTCGCCGGCGATTCTAGAAATGTCCTCGCATCCAGGACCATCCAGGAGTCCCACGTGTAATCGTTCGTCGCAGACGTCGTCCCCTGGTATTTTCTTACTCAAAGTCAGAATCCCGAAGTTTCAAGCGCACGAGAGGAATCTAGCAGCCAAAATCTGAACGGATTAGCGCAGCAGATCCCTGAGTCCAGGATGCCGGCTTAAAGTTGTCGAAATATTCAGTCAGACTAGAGGCAGGCCCAAATGGTGCAGTATCGGGGCATTGACTGTGTGGTTGTTAGGCGATATTGGCATATTCGCTTTGTCAGGCGAAATCTTATGGAGTCAGCTCGACAATCCGGCTTCAATGCAGTTTCCATCAGAAGGACCTCCCTTCTCGTGGATGAGGCCATCACAGTATCCCAAAGTGCCGAGTCGAGCGGATCACGTGAGATAAGATCGGACTTGTCCCTCTCGATCGGGAGCTGAAATTTGCTAGTGCTTCGTCGGAAACTTTTTCCAAGCGCAGGTGTGTTGATATCGTGAGGCGATATAGATATCTACCTTACGAGGGGGCTTGAAAAAAAGTTTTTTCTCATGATTGTGGTCGTGTGTAAGGGTTCTCGTGGCCTCACAAAGTTTCTTATGAATAAACGAAGTGTGCTGGGCTGACGTAGTCCGATAAGATTTTTAGATTTGGTCGGCTGTTTCTTGGTAGATATCGTTTGAGATTGGCATTCGCGAACGGTCTGAGCTCGCGTTGAAATGCTTCCTGATCATGGGATAGAGGTGAGAAAGTATGCTCAGGGAGGAGATAATTCCGAGAGCGATTGTCAGAAAGAGAAGAATGTCTTTTCACTTCGATTGAGTGTTGGGCTTGTGTGTTGCAGCGGTGTGTGTGCTAGCACTTGTCTCGGGACAGGGAATGGCTGTCGTTGTTAGAGATGTTCGGTTCATGAATTTCGCGAAGTCATTCCATATATTATCTCCGCCGATTGGAGGCTGTCCCGGCCTGAGTCACGCTTGAGTTTCTGAAGCGAGCGCCTCACACTTATAGAGAATTGATCCAGACATTCGCATGGAAAGTACGTGGGGTTGATTTCGCTGATTATGCAGCTCTTGTTTTGTCGTCTACAGTCGTCAAAACAGTCTCTATAGGACAGTGTTGCACTTTTGGGGCGTGGCAGATTTCTGGAGGGGCATGGAGCTCAGAGGACCTTCCATACTATCGAACTTGGTTTCGTGAAGCTCAGAAAATCCCGAGATCTTCGCCATTTTGCGTCGTTACGGACTCTGTGAAAGGATGCTTCCGAACGCCCGTGGATGCGTGATTAGGATCACAATCGTAGATGTGATTGCGACGTTGCGCCAAATGAACGCAGGAAAGTGACAAGCTTTCGAGTCGGCTGCGCGGCGCTCGCTGTCTGCTGCTCTTCACCGAAGCGCACTGTCAAACGTGTTCTCCGAGATGAGCGGTAAACGGAAGATAAGACGGCGATATTCGGAAGATTTCCTGAAGCATGGGTTCATCGCGGCGAAGCATGATGAGTGGTCCCCTTTCTGCCTCCTCTGCCAGACATCTCTGACCAATGAATCGATGAGAAGAGGACGGTTGGAAACTCATCTGAGAGTCAAGCATCCGAACCATGCGCTCTTTAGAATCGACTTCTTCAGATCTCTGAAAGAGAGAAATGAGCAAGCGCCAACTATCGCAAGACTGTTCTCTTCGGCCAGTTCATCCAACAGTCGTATTCATGAAGCAAGCTACGAGCTATCTCTTCTGATCGCGAAACTCGGTAAGAGTCATTGCATCGGTGAGCAATTGGTCAAGCCCGCCACATCACTTTTCTTGAGTACCGTGCTGCGAGTTGACGACAAAGACCTCCGCGCATTGCCGCTAAGTAAGAATACCGTCGGTCGCCGAATCGATGAGATGGCTAAAGACGTCGAAACGCAGCTGATTGGGCGACTCACACAGGTGAAGTTCTCCTTGCAACTTGACGAGTCGACGATACGTGATAGTGAAGCGCTTCACCTGGCCTATGTGAGGTATATCGACGACGCCGACTTGAAAGAAGAGATGCTGTTCTGCGAGTCCCTCAAAACTACAACGAGAGCAGTGGATATTTTCGGCCTCGTTCGAGAGTATCTCTCTGGAAATGAGATCCCATTTGAGAACATTGTCTCGTGCACAGCTGACGGAGCACCCGCAACGATGGGCAAGAAATCAGGTTGTCTCAAACTCATG